ATGCACAAATTGGAACTATGGACTTTGCAGAGAGAAAGGCCAGGAGGTATGCATCTCCCATTGGGTTCAATTTAACCGCATTCAGTGAATGGGGAATATTCTGTCCAGCTGAGATCACGCCAGAACAACCACTTTTAGGATAGCTTGTTGACTCTGAACTGGCCACTGATATCTGGGTTGACTCAAAACTCAGAGCTTATGACAAAAAAATGTGGATGTGTTTTTACCATATTTATTTATTTGTAGGGAGAACATGAGTATGCCACAGAGTATGGTCAGAGGATGATTTGTGAGAATCAGTTCAATCTTTCTCCCATGGAGATCCTGAGGATTGAACTCAGGTCCTTGGGCTTGGCAACCTCACTCAGCATGCATGGTTCATGTCATCTGAAAAGATGCTGTCAGGGGTAAAGGATAACAGGTGTGATTAATTCACTCATCGACTCAGAAATACATCCAGTGTGGGTCCTGGCAGTGGTCAGGGCCTGAATATAGGGCCAGTGATATCACCACCTCATGTCCATCTCATTGCCCCAAGTCAAGACCAGTTGTATCACGTGCCTCATGTTTCATCTGGTGGGTGTGGTTTTTGTCCCTGTTATGAAAGGAACTGTTGTTAGCTCTGCCTTACAGTCATTCAGGTTAGCATGAAGAAAATGTAAACAGCAGCGGGCAGTGTGCAGTTTTGTTTACAGAAGGACTCCTCAACATTCTTCCAAAAATTTGGCAGAGACATCACCTGGCACAGCTGTGATGGGGTAAAAATCGCAGCCCCACTCCACTGGCTTTCCTCCCCCTCCTGCTGAGGACCCTACCATCAGATTTGCAAGGATTATGAATAGTGAAAAAGATTCTATTCATGGAGAACTAGAATTTTCTTTCCCCACTGGATTTTCAAATTCTCTGGCTAGGGTGTATCTCACTATGTAAGGCCCTGGATTATCCCCTAACACAGAGAAAAAGTAAAAAAAAAAAAAAAAAAAAAAAAAAAAAGTTTCCATTCACCCAGATTTTCCTGGGAACAGTTTTGCCCTCTAATGACTTCAGGCTGCTGGCACCCATATTCTCAAAAGCATTATTGCAGACTGGGGAGAAGTCTCTGTGTGTGTCTTAGTGACTTTCCCTGTTGCCATGATAAAAGACTCCATAAAAGCAGCTTAAAGCAGGAAGCGTTTATCTCTCAGTCAGTGGGGATAGTCCTTCATGGTGAGAAAGCCCATGTGGCAGGACCGTGAAGCTGCTGGCCACACTGTCTTTGCATTCAGGAAGAAGGCAGTAGTGCATGATGTCACTCCGTTATTGTGAAGTGGAGGCCTCTTATATTTTCATAGCTCTTCCCATAGCAATTAAATTCATCAAATCAGCCTTTCAAAAGCACACGCAGCAGTTAACCTCATGGGAACAATCTCTCACAGGTATGCCTGTAGGCTTGTCTCCTAAGGGATTTCATATCCCGTCCAGTGGAAAACCAACGCTAATCACCACAATGGGGAAAGTGCTCACAGCACAGGCATGAGGACCCGAGGTCTGATCCCCAGCACCCACACACAAACTGGGAGTGATGGCACACATCTTTAACCCAGTGTGGGAGCCAGGACAGGCAGATCCTAGAGGTTCAGTGGCTGTTCAATCCACCTTAAGAGCAAGCTGCAGGTTCCCTTAGAGACTTGGTCTCAAAAAGCATAACGTGGGGAGAGAAATAGAGAAAGATATCCAGTGTTGATCCCAGCTTTCCCACTGGTATGTATGGGAGAGTATAGTGGCACCCTCGGGTGTGCATACATACATATACCCAGCACTGCAAAAATAAAATAAAATATGCTCTTTATAACATTAACTATACAGAAGAAAAGCAAATCCCACATTATCGTCAATATAATAAAATCTAATCTGTTTGTCCCACTGTGTTCTTGAGCTGTTTCTGAGAATTCTTGGCAAGTAAAGAGTCTGCCTCCTTGATTAGACCTCAATTTGGTTTTTCCAGAGTAAACACTGACACACTTAGAGAAGCTAACTTTATTTCATGAAGGTATTAAATGTAAGAAACAGATTATTGTTTTCTCATCTGACTTAAGGATGACCTCATGGTTAAAAAAAATCATATTAAAACCCCATTAGATGTATTTCCTACATTGCTAGGTTTTAATTCACACACTGGATTATAACATCACATTAAGTCAGCTCTAAGCCTGTGAGATGCTGAGCTGCAATTGCTGTCTGCTCATTCTGTTCCTGATTAAATAAATGGAACCAGATCAAAACAAGACCAGGCAGGCATACCCGAAACAACAAATCTGCTCTGCTGGAAACAGCAATGTGCTAAGGCCTGATACTAGGTGTATATATTTTATATTTATTATATATTTTTATTAAAACATCAACAAACAATATTGTTCAGGGAACTCAATTTCGAGATATTAAAAATAAAGACATTTCATATATTTATAAATGTAAATTATTGCAGGAAAATCTAATTATATTAACCACCTGATTTTGATTGTGTTTTATAAGGACAATTGGAGTCTTTTTCTTTAGAAAACAGACAACAAAGATTTGCCTGTTATCTCTATTGGGGGGATAGAACCTATGGCTTCAAGGAGGCATAAAAAGGATAAATAAGATAGCATAATTAAACATGGGACTATGCTGTATTATGCAGAGGATATTGGACTTAACACCCTCTGCAGGCTCATGATTTCATCGCGAGGTTCCAGCAGGTGGCGCTGTTTTGAGATGTTGTGGAATCCCTAGGCCTGGAGTCCAGCTGAAGGAAGTTTTTGATTAAGAGAAAGTCTTTCAAGGAGCATTATCCCTGACCGCGTCCTTCTGTGTGTGTTCTCTGGCCCACCATGAAGTGAATAGACCTCTTCTCTGTCTTCTTCAACATGGGAGACTGAACCCCTTGAAAGCATGAATCGTTCCTCCCTTTGCTGCCCAAGGAAATTCGGATGCAGTGTTGGAAAGCAATGAATGTAGCAAGGTATTTCTAGAGTCTGGAGTGATGGAGGAAGGTCATTGGCTAATAAAGGCACTGCCCTGGCCCATTTTATTGGTTAGAGGATAGGTGGGAGGAGAAAACAGGACAGAACACTGGGAGGAAGAGGAAGTGAGGTCAGAGTCTCGACAGCTTTCCTCTCAGGAGCAGACGCCTGAGAGAGACGCCATGCCCCGCTCCCGGCATGAAGCTCCGACCCAGGATGGACTAGGCTAGAATCTTCCCGGTAAGACCGGTTCTCACAGATTATTAGAGATGGGTTGATCAGGATGTGAGAATTAGCCAGTAAGGGCTAGGGCTAAAGGGCCAAGCAGTGATTAAAAGAATACAGTGTCTGTGTAATTATTTTGGGCATAAGCTAGCCGGGCAGGCGGCCGGGGGTGCTGAGAATACAGCCCTGCCGCCCTTATTACTTCACTGGAGGCTGCTTTAAGGAAGGAGAAATTCTGTTTTGTATCCTCATGATGATTATGAGCATGTTCTCATAATTCCTTCTTTACCAAAAGTAATAAAACTCCACCTGTCCTTTGAATAGAAAAGCCAGGTAGCTCAATTCTTCTCTCTTGAGAATTCAAATGACAACAAATTCAAAATAAAACTTAACAACTGCATTGCTGTCTGAGTAGAAATACATACATTTGCAAATACATCTCTGGATTCCTTCTGTTTTGTTCTGACTCAGAAGGCAATTGAAAGGAAATTTTAAGATATCTTTAAGTCATCTGTTGTGAATTCTTTTTCCTGCTGTGAACCTATTATTAATTCTGGTAATGCCTATATAAATATTCCCTAGTGATCTATCTGTAGTTAAAGAAATTCATAGAAGAGAAAGATATCTTTGTAAAACAAAAATGAGGCTAGACATGTGATCTTTTTATTTGATTCATTATTCACTATCATTTTAATTGTGCGTGTGCGTGCGCATGTGTACAAATATGCACTCACACATATACATGCGTGCTTGAACATTTGAAAGCCAGTTTCCATGGAGGCCAGAAGAGGGTGATGAAACCCCTAAGGTTGAAGCTGTAGGCAGTTGGGAGTCACCCACTATAGGTAACTGACCCCAGGTCCTGTGGAAGAGAGCAGTATAGGCTCTCTAGCCTCTTGCTTGTTTCTCCAGAGGCAGGGTCTTGCTTTGTATCCTAAGCTGACTTTAAACTCAATCCTCATGCCTCAACTTCCTGAGGGCTAGGCTTACATACTTGTGGTACCATGCACAGTAGATATGCTATCTTGTGGAGGCTTGAACCACACTTAAACAGCTTCCACAAGTTTTCTGTTATTAAGGACATTCAGTACTTGTTCTAATGAGGCACTTGGTTTGACAATATTAGAGAGAGAAGAGCTAGGTTCTTATATAGACTCGAAGTTGAGTCATTAAAAGTATGAATTGATGGGCTGGTGAGATAGCTCGGAGCATAAAGGCCTTTGCCACAAAGCTTAACATTCCGTTTCAGCTTCAGGCGTCCACATGAAGAGGATGGACTCCCAAGAGCTGTTCTCTTACCGTCACATGTGCTCCAACTCCCATGCACAAAATAAATAACAAATGCAAAAAGAAAAATTTAGGAAGTGTGAACTGATTTAAATTTAATGATATGCTAACTTTCAAGAGATACAATAAGCATTAATAAGTTATAAAGAAGAAAATAAAGACAACCAATTACATTTTGATTCTAACTTTTTCTACCAAGCCAAAAAAGTAAATAGTAAACATAAAAAACCCACTGCTCTGTTAACAGTGTGTTTTTCCCTTTCAAGTGTTGGCAACAGCATCAAAGCTTGGTAGTTCAGAGTCAGCTGTCTAACCACATCAGGGAGAGACTTATCCTTTTATAAATATGCATTGCATGAAGTCTCATCTTATACTGAGGCAGCAATCTTTCCTTAACTATTTCACCCAGACACTGGGATATACTGGTAAGGGTCCCGGTCTGATCCAGGACACCCTTTTCTTCCAACCCTGAGACATGAGTTCAGGGAAACATGTTAGTTTACTTACCACAGGCCTGTGGACGTCCCAGAATGCTCTCTCTTGACTATCGAGAATTTTCCTTTCGATTTTGTCTCTCTTCTTATCCACTCTGTCAAAGTGGCAACAATGAAGAGTTAGCAAGACTAATTGGACCATCTCCGAACAGAAGGCCGCACAGAAGGCCGCACCTGAGCAAATCTCCCCACAGACTCACAATGACTCACTTTGCTTGTGCTTCTGCCTGCATGAAAATGAACTCCCACTTCCGGGCAAATGCTCTCTGCAGCCTGGCAAGGCTCTCCTGAAAAAACATAGGACAGCTGAATATATTTTAGTGTTCCTTTCAGAATTTCTAAAGTGTTATATATGCTCTGAATCTGAATCAAGTGTGCTTCCTGAATTTTCAAATCATAGGCCTCATGGGGCCAGGTGAGCCTCTAACTCACTATGTAGCTGAAGATGACTTAGAACTACCTCCCCAGTGGGGGTAATACATACATACATATATACATACATGTATTTGTATGTATACATATATATGTGTGTGTGTGTGTGCCAACATGCCTAATATATATCTCATGCTGAGGATAGAAAACAGAGCATTTTTTGTGCTAGACAAGGACTTTACAAACCAAGCTACAGTCCCGATCAATAGCAATCATCTTGCAGGAAGCACAGTATAAATCACCAAACATTCCTTTGTTTCTACTGAAGACAAATTCACTGGATCTTTCTGTGCCCATCCTACGGAGACAGGAAAGCAATGCCTTCCCACTACTGATCCAATCGATTGGTTCAGGTCCTGAGAATAGTTATCAATCTTTGGAAGCTCAGGATCTACTTGTGCAGAGTACTCTGAATTAGTTATCACAACACAGCCATCATTAGAACAAATTACACTAGACTGCCTTCGACTGATGGGAGCTATCAATCGGACGGTCCTGCTAAATCGGCCGCTAATGTAAACAGTTTTCCATCCTCACAGTTCAGACATTATTGATGTAGTATATATCTGAAATCTTTACAATTAAGTTAGTCTAAAAGAATAAGACGTACTTCTCTTCATACATTGAATTCATATGCTAGAATTCTACTGTCCTTAACGTGAGGGAAAAGAGGAAGCAGACAGAGAGGAGTCATGAAAGCGCTGGGCTGGGAAGCCTGGTCCTTATGATTCATCCATGTAAGAAGGCACAGAGAACCCAGATATGGCCAAAGGCTTGATTTGTGCTGGTTTTATACCACTGTATGAGCATCCTTGGTACTTACGGCTTCATAATCAGCTAGCTCTAGCCTTGCTTTGTTTTGCATTGTTCTCTTGCAGAGGTAAACAGCTGAAAGAAAAAATAGTATCATTTCTTGGCTGCTCATTAGCACTGAAACACTAAATATAGAAAAATAGCACTATGTGTCAAGATATTTGTCACTTTCTCTCAAGTTCAATTTACTATTGTTATCTTATTATCAAAAATAAATAATAATAAAAGAAGACATGTAAGATTCAAATACTGGCATTTAAAAAGTCAAAAATAAGTAGAATATTAAGCTAGGATAATCATTTATTGTTATTAAATGGTAGGCATAATTTTATCATCAACAAATAGTAAGGAGAATTAAAATCTTTTCAGAGATTAAATGAGCTTAAAATCTAGATAGATAAAAATCATTTCATAAAAGGTAATTGCAGGAAGAGGTATCTGACAGGCATTTTGAATTATTTCTAGATTGTGCTATCAACTACCAGGATGTCTTATGTAAGCTTAAGGGTTCTTGGCTTCTTCCCCTCTTTATTTTGCAAGAGTTGCTCATCAGTCAGTTGCTCTGTTCTAGAAGAGCAGAGTCTAACACAAAAAGTGTTCCCCTTCTATAGTATTTTCCTCAGTCTGTTTGGCCACCAAGTAGGCTGGTCATGGCACCAGGTTTATTGAATTGTGAAAAGTAGGAGAGAACAGGGGTGGCAGCATTGCCCTGGTACAAATCTTCAGATGTTTAAAATTACCCTGAAGACTTTAAGGAACATTTCAAGAGAACCAGGTCCTCAGGCAGAGTCCCAATTCTCAGAATATCTTCTGTCTTTGTTTTTCATTAGGGGTGAATCTTGGAACTCAATAAGACCAATACTAATTAATTATAACAGTCTACATACTGAATGAAATCACTGGCTGAGGCTCATTAACTACTCCTTTTTGTAAGGCTATCCCTATGGAAATGTCTTATACCTATGACCTTTGCACTCAACAATATTTGCCTTGGTTTAAGATAAGGAAACACAGCTGCTCTCAACCACTACGTCCTCTCTAGTGAAGGACAGAGAAGACAAACATGTAGTTCATGGGGGCTAGAAACCCAAAGGCTAAATTTGTGTGTGTGCGTGTGTGTATGTGTTACTGGGGTTTGAACCCACCCAGGGCCTTGGCTGGCTGAATAATGAAGGAATAGGATTTGGTTCAAACACGTTTGACAATCTGGTCGAGAAGCCCAGGTTTCTGAATCAAGCCTCTGAGTGAGGACTGGTTAGAAGGGAATGTCAACAGGAGAGTCTTTCTCTCAATTCTGGAATTCTCTACAACACGGAGTAGTCTCTTGCATAAACATTGTCTGTAGCAGAAATATTCACAGTCGTGCCCCATAGGTGGCAGGGTCATTGATCATTGTGACACTCTGACACCTCTAGCTAAGGATGAAGACAAGAGCGTTTACTTCATAAGGAGTAGGAATGCAAAGGCCAAATGTGCACTTGGAAAACATACAACATGTAATCCAAACATTACAAGTGAGACGTAGGATCAGGAGGCTGCTCCATTTCTTTTGAAATGATCTTTGAATAATTATTTTGTGGACTAACTTTCCTCCTATTCTTGAATTTAAAAAAGTCAGGCAGTTCCCACAATCTTGCTTTTCAAGCTTGGGTAGGTCAGAGAGCATCAAGTTATTGACAATTTCTATTGCCAGTTAACAAACTCCAAGCACATTTCCAAGGTTTAAAGATGAAGTCATCTCCTTGACTCCAGTTTGTGGATAGAAGGAATATATGGGACTTTCTCTAGTGCCCCTGCTTTTGGCCATCAAGACCCACTGACAGAGCCTCTAATCCAATGATTCTTGACATTTGGGTCATGACTCCTTTGGAGGTCACTTATCAGATAGCCTGGATATCAGATATTTGCATTACAATTCATAACAGTGGCAAAATTACAGTTATCAAGTAGCAACAAAATAATTTTATGTTCGTTGGTCACCACAACATGAGGAACTGTATTAAAGTGTCATAGTGTTAGGAAGGTTGGGAATGACTGCTGTATCCTTCTGAGGATGTAGAATAAGAGAGAAAGAGAGTGAAGAAATGGCAGAACAAATTTTTTAAGATTACATATTTTTTATTTTACCCTGTGCATAATTTTAATTTTATTTTCAAGAGAAAAGGCAAAAAGTTGTAGACAAATTTAAACATATGTATTTCAGCAAACTTTATAATAATTTTTACTACATTTATTATGCAAGTGTGTGTGTGCTTATAGGCACATATGTGCCATGGGGTGTGTGTGTGTGTGTGTGTGTGTGTATGTGCTTATAGGCACATATGTGCTATGGTGTGTGTGTGTGTGTGTGTGTGCGTGTGTGTGTATGTGCTATGGTGTGTGTGTGTGTGTGTATGTGCTTATAGGCACATATGTGCTATGGTGTGTGTGTGTGTGCGTGTGTGTGTATGTGCTATGGTGTGTGTGTGTGTGTGTGTATGTGCTTATAGGCACATATGTGCTATGGCGTGTGTGTGTGTGTGTGTGTGTGTGTGTGTGTGTGTGTGTGTGTGTATCTGATAGTCTGATAGTCAGGGCACAACTTGTGGCAGTCAGTTCTCTCCGTCTACCATGTGGATCCTAGAGAGTAAATCCATGTTGTCCGGCTTGGCAGCCGCACCTTGTATCTGCTGAGTCACCCTCCAGCCCACCACATTCACTTTCGTTTTGATTTAAGCATGTGTGTTTGTGTTGTACAGCTTGGTGCTTTGCTACACACTTACAGCGTGGAAGGGCAGTGTCACACACATTTCTCACCACCATCACCTCACCATCTTCATCCTCACCATCCCTCCCTCGCACATCCTGCCAGACTAGAATATTTAACATCCATTCTTGTAGTGACCTTCAAACACACACACACACACACACACTGTTGTTGCATCTTATACGATAGAGTTCCTGATCTTAGTCCTTCTAACTGAAAAACTGAATTTGCCAGTGGTTATTAATGCCAAACACCTTTCCATAGGCCAGTTGATCACTTCTTTGTCTTTCTTAGAAATCTTTATTCAGGTACTTGTTCATTATTTATCTGAATTGTATGCTTTCTTGCTTCTCTGACACATCGTGTTGATCTAGCTACTCTCTAGACGTGACAGAGGTTTGAAGCAAATATTTTCTTCATGTTGCTTCTGTGGATTTTGGAAAATGACCCCACCCCCACCCCATCCTGTCACCAGTACTGATGGGTCCTCATGCTGAGAAAAATTTGCCCCAGAGAAAATGCTCAATATCTATCTGCCAAGTGGCAGGAAACATCACAATTTATTGACCTTTTGAGGGTTTGTTTATTTGCTTGCCTGTCTTATTTGTTGATTCAGCCTAGTGATATTTTATACTGGAGGACCTTTTTCCAGTTAGATTTAAAACCAGTTTGTATGCTAAAGATAAAAAACGAAAGCTCTCTACATATGCAAGAAGTCCATTTTCCCCTAGGCTTCTTGAGAAAAGATTATTTAACAATAAAGATAATATCCAGAATATTAAGTATGGATTGTGTGCATGAACATATACACATACGTGCATCAGTGGTACATGTATTGAGATTTGCTTTTCTATATTAAACATAATATGATTAAAGTTTTCTATTGTTTTATATAGATATAGCTTGTTTTCCCTAGCCACCATAGTCTGTCCTGTGAATGAAGTGTGTGTGTGTGTTTGTGTGATTTTTAAACTATATTTATATCATCAAATAAATAATGTTGACGTTATGAATAATGATCTAATAAGGGTCTTTCTTCACATATATTTGAAGTCTGTAGCAAATGGCAGAGTTTGAATTTTACAACATTGCCACATTTTTGTGCATAATGCTTTTTTCTCAAGGAATGATGAACCTTTTGCTTCCTTTGGGTTTTTGCTAGTCTGGCTGGAAAGAAAAGTATTAAAGTCTTGTAATTTCATTAGTTTTCTGTATTTGTTTTATTAAATTCCCAACATTTTTCATATTACAGATTTTACTATATTTCTTTGGAATGTTACCTTTACCAATTTAATATTTTAAATTTCATTTTCCAATTTAATATTTTTAATTTAATTAATATTACTATTGCTAATTTTGTCTTCATGCTATAACAGATTTGTCTACTACACCTTTGTCTACAATTCTATTTAATTTCTTATTTAGTTAGTGTTTGAAAGGTTTTAACTGTGTAACCCAAGCTGGCCTAAAACTTTTTATGAATACCAGGCTGGCCTCACAGTCACAGATATTTGCCTGCCTCTGCCTCTAGAAACCTGGGACTAAGGGTGTGTACCTCCATACCTCGCTTGCCACCGTTTGCTTACACTGAGTTACTTTATTTTACTTAAAATCCAACTATAATACTTATTCTTTTGGTAGACAAATTTAAATACTTTAATTCTTAATTGTGTTTTAGGTGAATGGATATTTTGCTTGGATGGATATTTCTGTACACCTCATGCATGCCAGGGGTCAGAGGAGAGCATTAGGTTCCTTGGAGCTGGATTTACAGATGGCTGTGAACCTTCCTATGGGTGCTGTGAATCCAACCTTGGTCCTCTGGAAGAGCAGCAAGTGTTCTTAGCCACTGAGATATCTCCCCAGCCCCTTTTCATTCTTTCCGTTACATTTGGTAGTCTTTTTCTCACCGCTTCCTTTCTCTATTTCCTTCCTCCTCTTTATTTTCTTTGTTTCATGAGTTAGTTTTCTTTAACTTCCACATTACTATTTGATAAGTAATAAAACTTGTTATCATTCAACCTTACCTGCACAAATAAAGTCTCAAATATTTACCTCTAAAACTGCAACCTCAGAAATTACATGGTAACTAATACAATCCACCATCCATGCTGAAAAACAAGTTTATCCTCACTCTTTACAGACTTCTAATATTTTAATGAATACAATTTATTTTGCACTGCTAATTAACATTTTAAAATAAATTGAAGTATTCATGTTTCATTTGAAAACCGTTTCAATCCAGTTATTTTGGATCCTAGAGGGAAGGCAGAGAAAGTGGTTGTCTTGGGAAATTAAACAGAAAACTGTCTTTCACAGTGTAAATTTA